TATATTATATTTTTAGTATCTTTTTCTATATATTTATTATATTTTATTATAGTTATTTTTAGTTAGCTATAGGACAAGATATTGAAGGAGGCTTCTAAATATCAAATAACTATAATAGTATTTGTAGATCAATATAAGGGCTACACAATAATATGTGTTTTATTTTTAATTAATATGTAACTTATTGAGTAATAGAGTACCAAGTATTGATAAACATAATTTTGCTTAGCATTGGCTCAGCATTGTTTATTGGTGTTTTAGGAGATTCTACTTGGATTTTCTATATTGCCAAGGATTTCCAAACGTTTTAGAATATCTAAAAATATATTACAACATATAGTAGCCTTAAAACCAATTAAATATTGGTCTAAAAAGCTATAAAAAGGGTAGCTTTTTGCCTTTCTAAAAAGCAGAGTTGTCTCTATCTAAAATTACTTTAATAAATTATATTTTATTTATTATTTTCTTGACATTATTAATAAAAACCATTATTTATCTTTCTATTTTATTGATTCTATCTCTTATTTTATTATTTCTTATTCTTTTCTTGATAATAATATAAAATGAAAGCTAATTTCGTTAATAGTATTTTGGCAAATACTAGCTTTATATTATTAGGATTTAAAAGCTACATATAGCTATTGATGGTCTGGTTATTAGTGCTTTCTTTCCTCTAGTTATATCTCAAGATATTTTTAAATTCTAAAGTCTAATAATCCTTGTAAAGGGGAAGCATTTGCTATATCTGATCTATACAAACTGGCTAATAGGTTTAACCCTAAACATAATTGTCTATTGCTAATCACCTTATAGTATCTAGAAGGCTATTGAATTTAAATCCTGTTTTATATTTTTCTTTTCTATTCTTTCTTTTTATTTTCTTTAAATAAAAGATTGTCTACTTGGCACTCGTGTCTTTTAAAATTTGCTATAGCTTGCTAGTTTTTAGTAAATTTTATTACTATTTGGCGATGACTACAAGACCTATCTTTCCAATTTAAGAAAAATATTTAGTATATATAAGTACAGCTCTACCTCAAATTGCAATATTTGGAGAACCAAATTATTCTTTTGTACAAACAAGGGAACCATTAGCTTTATTTTTTTTTTTTTCTTCTTCTTCTTCTCTTTCTATTTCTTCTTCTTGTTCTTCTTCTTTTTCTATTATTTCAAATTCAAGACCTCGGGAACAACTAATTGATAATTATCAAAATAACAATATGGATAATCTTCAAAATTTATAAGAAAATGCTGTTAATCAATTTGACTATATTATAAATAACAATGATATGATGAACAATGATAATAGTTTAGATAATCTATATATTAATGATAGTTTTTTTTTAATGATCTTCCTCCTAATGATCAGAATACAGAAGCTGGTGTTTACTTTGTACTAAATCCCTATACATATTCTCCAATATATCAATCTTCTAAAATAGTACCTCACAATTCACCTCCTATATCTTCAATGTCAACAAATATTCTATTTATATCAACTTTAACTTCAACAAATGTTCTACTAATGAGTTCATCATCATCAGCTAATAAAAATAAACAATCATCTATTAAGTTGGATAACTCATCTTCTTTTAATTTTAAAGGCCTACCTGAGGAAACAATACCTAATGATCCTCAAGTTCAACAAGTTCTCTATCACTTTAACCATTTAGTTAAAGCTATGGAAAAAGGATAATCTCAATTTTCCAAGGAAACTTTTCTTGTCCAAATTCCTGTCTTTAAAGGAAGAGAACAGGATCCTATATATTGGCTAAATAAATTTGCAACTACATGTTCTGTTAATAATATCCATGAACTCTGAATATTAATTATTATTTCTGCTTATCTAAAAGGATCAGCACAGTCCTGGTAGAGGACCGTTGCTAATAAAGTTGAAATAATTTAAGGCTAGCTCAATCTTTTGTCTATTTATTTCAACTTCAATTTTGCATTATCTATCAAAAATCTTGATGGCTTGCTGATCTCCGATCTCGAGTTCAACAACCTGGTGAAACTGTTGAGGATTATTATGCTGAATTGGAACATCTATATCGAAAAATTGATCCAAATAATCGATATCCATTAGAGGATAAACTATAGCAATTTATTGATGAACTAAGAAGTAAAATTCAGGAATCAGTTGAAATTTCTTGCCTTACTACTATAGCTCAGGCCTTAATTCATACCAAAGCTGCTAAAGCTGCTTTTTCTTGAAGAATGCCTTTTGGTTCTTATTTTTTAAATAGGGGATATTTTAACCATTACTCTTTTTTTTTTTATCATCCTGGTAATACTATTTCTATTAATAACCAGCCTAATAATAAAGTTTCTCAAGCTGTTTAGGCTATTTTAAACTATTTTAAATAGCAACCCCAGCCAAAATCAAATACTTCTCAAAATAATAACAATAATAATAATCGTAACAACAATAACAATAATCAAAATAATAGTTCTTCTCAATGAAATACTATTGTTTGTCAAATTTGTAATAACGGGGCTGTAGTGCACGTAATTGCTATTAAAGGAATAACAATAATAATTTTGGCAATAATAATCAAAGGAAAGGAAATTTTCAATATAATAATAATAATCAAACCAACAATAATAATTATCAACTATCAAAAAACAACTCTTAATCACAATCATTTCCAAATAAACAAAAACCTCAACCTACATATTATACGCTTTCTGCTAAGGAGTTACAAAACTTTGTTCAAAACTCAGCACAGTCTTTAAACTCCTAAAGGCACACTGTGAGGGCAGTAGTGCCTATCAATCAATCTCTTCTTCTAAATCTACTT